CCCTTTCGCGATGTTCGGACCATAATTGCGGCCTCTAGAGTGACCAGAAAAACCGTAAAAAATTAAGTATTTGGTCCATTTCAACCTTAAATATTAACCGATTTTTATCAAAAACAATAGTTTTCGGTTCATTGCAATCCCTAAATATCATCTCAACATTACAGAAAATTATTGGCGTCGCCCTTGGCCATAACCGTAACACCTTGTAAAAGTTCAAAGCGATCAGCGCGTCATGTATATACTTTAACCAGATTACCTTCCTGGTGTAAAATTTACAAGTTTTCAAAATGTTTACCCTTTGTGGGGTAGGTACTAGAAGTAATGTACTGATAGGTCCTATCTTCCAACATTATATAGGCATGGTTTAAATATAAGAGTTAGCAATGTTTAGTTCAAATCGGCTTGATTCTATTATAAAATAAATTTTCAGCAAACATTTTGACCATTGTATGTGGGAGGTACCAGAAGGAGTGGACGGATTGTATTTTCGAACTTGATTTATGACATTTCAGTGAAATAGATAAAAATTTCGAATCTTAGCAGGAAAACCCATATAACATTTTCAACCGAATTATTTCCCTAAAAATTAATAATTATTAAATTTTGGTATTTTCAGGGTTTCTGGACACGTTTTGAAACCGAATTTGCTGTAATTTCATATTTTGGGTTCTATGTTTCTTGGTGTCCCCAATATTAAGACACTCACCTTTTCCTTTTTTTTTTAATTTTACGAAAATTTGCCCTCAAAAGTTTCTGTAACTTATACTTCCTTGTGGCATATGGGTTGCATAATATCCATAGGTATACTTCTTTGCTATTTTTCTTATATAAAGATCCCAATATTACTCGATTCGTACAAGAAATTTGGCTCGGTCGCACTAAACGACTTTTTAACTCATTTTATAGACATACTATTATTTTATTAAAAATCAATTTTTTATTTTTGTCATCTATTTTAATTTTCAAAATCTGGTCGCCTAAATAATGAGCTATGTACCAGGAGTGGACCGATGGGTCCCATCTTCAGATTCGATCTAGGATGGGTAAAAATATTACGATTAGTAAGGTTTGGATGATATTTGGATATTTCGTTCGTTTCATATAAGATTTACAAAGTTTCAAAATTTTGACGTGTTGATGGCGAGGTACTAGAAGGAGTGGGCCGAGAAGTTCCATATCCCAACAATATACTGGTATGATTAAAAAATTTGATTGTACAAAGTGTGTTGATTCGGATGCTCTGTTCGGACGATATTATAAAAAAAAACGATATTATCGAATGCAATGACGGATTGACATCTGTAAAACAAATACAAATTGTGTAAAACGGATTTGGTGCAATGGAACATGGGGAGGCACATTAGCCATAAAGATGAGGGTATACAAATTCAGACGGCCCTTATTCTTTAATGCTTTACGATGCAAATTTTACGGCGTCTAAGTTTCAAATTTCCATCCGCTTAGTCCAATTTTGGCATATTCTCACGAAAAATAAGTGTTGTCTTTAAATCTGTTAATTTATGAGGGCTTGAGCTTTAACGTAGCCCACAAGCAATAATAAGCTCATTAGTCTAATGAAACCGCCAATGTATGAACTTCACCAAACTGTGACTTTTTCTGGATGGTGGTTATTGAAATACTTCTGGCTGATTTTCACTGAAAAGTCGACAATTCTGCTTTGCCGCCGAACAAACAGAAGGAAGTGAGCTTTTTAAACCAAAAAGATAATACCTAAAAAATTACGCTTTTCCAAAAAGATCGTTGATTAATCAAAACGTGTAAAGAATTTAAAGTTTTAGAAATGTAGATCAAAATAAATTAATATTTTACAAATGCGGAAAATATAATAAATTCTTTCAGGTCATAAATGTTATATATTTTAATGTGTCAAGGTTTCCAATATATCAACATAACGCTTGCGATACACCCTCGTATCAAAATACATTCCAAGAATCAGAAATTATTTTCCACAACAGTTTTTTTTTTAAGGTGGGGCTATTTCACACCGCTCCACTATATAATTGAAGCTCTGTCATGTTTACTTAGCTCCTTCAGAATCGAGCTACTTTTGTAATCTAATACAAAAAATTGCGGAGTGGCTTTTATGGAACCCAAAAATTACTTTCTCAGCAACGATTTAAAAAAATATAATTTTCCTCTATTTACCAATCAAATAATTTTAATGTAACATTAATCGTCAATGTAATTCATTTCAGTGTTTGCAAACAAATACTTTGTGTAAAACAAACAGAAAACAATTTTGTGTAAACAATTCACATGTGTATGTACAATATGTACATATGAATGCGACCGCCCGACAAACGGAATGGAGGATCACCGATTATATGAAGTGTAGAAAATCATGTTAGGCTTACTGACATTTTTTTTTGTTTTCCTAACAGATTTTTGATCATTTTTTAATGAACTTCATTCATGTTGTAGAAAAAACCGATTAAGTGATGGAGTGAGAGAGTGACTGAGTGAGTGTGTCATGTGTTTACTGTTCTTCCTCTGTTTGTAAGGTAAGTAAGTACGACATATAGACAGACTGGGTTACATACCCAGATATTTCGTCTTGTTTTCTAATGACTTTGATCCAAGCCGTTATGTGTGTTTTTCACTTGACTGTTGTTTTCTAGTCGAGCTATATTGTTTAGTTTGTTGTTTTTGTTTTTTATATTCGTATTTTCACGTACATACATAAAACTGTCAAAAAATTGTTTTGGTAAACAATGTTGAAGTACCCCTTCGCTATCAAATGCTGAGATTTTGTTGACGAGTCCACAAAAGTATGAATGAACGAGTTGATTTGATATTTGAAGAGAAATGGATTTAGAATGAAGGGAAATGTAAATAATTGCGTAGTAGAATGGCTAGGAGAGAAGTTGTTGTTTTATTTTCGATTAGGGATTTTTTATGGAAACTGCGTTACAGGGGATGATAAAGTGATTTTCTATTCTATCGATGATTACTGATGTATGTAAGGCCATATATTTCACAGAGGATCTTTAAGAGGTGGTATAATTTAAAGATGACCCGTAATATGCCTATTTCTTCTATTGAACGTATTTAACAGGTATTGTATCCTAATAAATAGCCTGGCTGTACTTGTCTGAATTACCCAGTTTTTTAGTGATTCTCCAGTTTCAAGCTAAAAATACATTTTCTCAGCGAAATTGATAAAATCCCGGAGACTCAATATTCTTGATCAAATTCAATTAGCCATGTCCGTGCTCGCAGTATTAATGATATTTATATATGGTAAGAGAATTCGCTGTAATTTGTTATTTGATAACAAATCTCCCTACCAAAATTTATCGAAAATCATTTCCGATAAGTTATATATTTATATATAATATAAATTCTATGACGATCTATGCATGCCCGCCTGTCCATTGTAATCACTCTAGCCTCTAAACGATGAATTTGTCTGAAAATGGGATATATCGGTCCTCGTTTTATGCATGATCACATATTAATGTAACACCCAATTTTCGGTATTTTGGGGTACTTGAGCGCATTTTTTAACGGAATTCACTGAAATTGGGTATATTAGGTTTTTATTGTGTACCACTAAAAATATAAGGGTACCCCACATATAAGGGTACCCCACAATTTTCAGTACTTTGGGGGGTTTGACTTTATTTTTCAACCGAATCAGCTGAATTTACCTCTATATTACATTATTTGGAGGATTTTATACTCATGTTCCACCCTACCATTCGTTTTCTACAACGGTGCAGGTTTTGGGTTAAAAATTGCTGACATTTTTACAACCAAACGCATGTACAAATAATAATAATAATATGGTTCAATTGTCGGTATATGTCCATTTTTTGGTATTCTCCCTATATGTTCAGGTAACTGACAGTGTACCTATGGTGGATGGTATCCAAAATCTTAATCTCCATAGAATTTTATTCTCATCAAAAATGTATGTACCATATATGGTGTCTGGTGAATATCTCGAGATGTTGCAAAATGAGGGGCTAACTTGAGAGGTTTTCAACATTAAAGATGTTATTCTGTATTCTATCCTATATAGTAATCGATATTAAGTGTATTACATAGAAAAAAACTATATAGGATCCTCAAAAGAAAAAAAATGTTTTCAATAGAATATAATATATTTAAAAATACTTTTTGTATATCTAACATATGCTAAGGATATGTAAGGAAATATCTTTAAGGAAATCGCGTGTTTTTAAGGGTAATCTATTCTCTATTCCCATTTTCCTAAATATTGTGTTTTTTGTTTTGACCTAATATTAAATAAAAAGTTAATTTTCCCAAAATAACATCCAAGAAGTTATGAACTCAACTTCATTCTTTAATTTAACGTTTTCCCTTATCACCTGTGCGACAAAAGGATGTTCTCTTCCATGCACTGATTACCTTTACTTGAATACATACCACGAAAATATTAAAACTATGGATGAAACATAAAGATGATGATGAAGATTTTCCAACCAGATAAGTTTTATTAATAAAACAGCAACAGAAAAAAATAAAATATTATAAAATTTATATGACCCTGGAACCCAAGAAAAACAACTAAAAAAATAAAGTTTCTCACAAGATTGTCACTTGAAATAAAATCACATTTTTATGAACATCAAAAAATAAAAGAAGTTGTGTGCGAAGATGAAATTAAATACCAAAAACCCCAAAAAAAGGGTGATAGTTAATAAAGAGTTATCATTTCCCTTCAGCATCTGTGTATGGAAGGCTGGTCTGGATGGCAGGCTGACTGACTGCCTCGATGGATGTACAAAGTACACCAGCAAGAAAAAAGGGTTTACTTTTATGGTGCCGCCATTTTCAAAAAAAAAAAATCATTTCATATCTGAAGGGGGTTCTTTCAACGGTTCTTTGCCGAAGTGAGTGTGCGTTTTTTATGATGTGACTTTAACTGTCCTCGCTGACATTTAATATCATCCACACTTATTTTCTACCATGTTTTAATATAAAACACAAACTGTTTCTTTGTCTTCCTTTAGGTGACAGGTTGGCAAATTTGCGGTTACTGCACACGCCATCGTCAACACCACCACCATCAACATCCACCGCCGCCGCCAAACATTTTATAGTCTTCATAATTCTTGACAGTTTAGCCATTGTTGCACACTCAAAATACAAACAAAAAAGGCAAGAAATTTGATATTATCGTTAAGTGTTGCATGTTTCATGATGGCAACATAATAATATTTGATACTTTTTTATGCCGTTGTTCGCCAATCACAGGAAAGCAAAGATGCAACAACAAGTGTTTGTAACATTTGACTTATGACCATATGGTGTTATATTTTGGGGGTCTTGAGAGAATGTGTAGAATTATTTAATTTTTTTGAAAATACTTTTAGTTTTCGTTCTAGGTTCATATAAAGAAAATAAGACATTCTGTAGAAAAAATCGCAATGGTCTATTATAGAATAAATTCTTTAAAGGCCTTCTACAGAATAGATCTCAAAATAATATCTGATAATCGGTTCAGATTTAGATATAGTTCCAATATATATATTCTTCCAATTTTATTCAAATTGTGCTCTAAAGACCCAAAGTTTATCCGATTGCCATACAATTTTGTACAATGAACTGTAGTTAATATAAATTAATTTCTGGCAAGTCTCTTTGAAATCGGTGGAGATTTAGATATAGCTTCTACATGTATATTTTCGGCCGATTGACACAAATTTTTGCACAACGTACTGAAATTAATATAACCTAGCATTTGGAAAGTTTTGTTCAAATCGGCTCAGATTTGGATAGAGAGTTCCTATATATATTTTCTCCCGATTTTGACTAAATGCTGCACCAAGAACTCAAAATGTGGCCAATAAGCACAAATCATACTGAAATTAGTATAACCTAACCTGTGAAAAGTTTCGATGAAATCGGTTTAAATCGGATTTTAGTGAACAAATGAAAAATTGAACGATGTGGCTTTAATTTGGTATAACGGGTTATTTAAGGATAAAATCCATACATATATCAATGTGAGACACAATCGAGGTGATGGGTTTTTATTGCGTACAAAATATCCCCACAAAAAAATTATACATATAGGTCAACTTTTTCTGGTAGCCCCCATATAACGGTACCTTCTAATTTTCAGTATTTTGGGGGTTTTGATCGTATTTTTCCAACGAATTGGCTCTAATTTAGTATTTTAAGTTCTTGGTAGGTACCAAATCTCTCCACAAAAAATTATGAATATATGTCAATTTTTTCGGATAGCCCCCATATAAGGGTAGCCCCAATTTTCGGTATTTTGGGGTTCTTGAGAGCGTTTTCAACCTAATTCGCTGGAATTTGGAATTTTGTAGTCGTATATGGTAACAAATCTCCCTACCAAAAAGTATTAATATTCGCGCCCTTTTGGGATAGTCCCCATATAACCCCCTTTTTTATACAAAAATAGTTATCTGCTCTGTTCCGTGTTTTGGGTTTGGTTCATAGACTCTGCTCTAATCGTTTCATCGAGATCGAGATAAAAAAACTAGAACGTAAGGTTCGATAATGAACTATATTTGAACTATAACCCGCATTTAGGCCTAGCCACTGTGTGGGAAGTACCAGAATGAGTTGACCGATATTCCCCATCTTCGAACTAAGTTTGGAAGAAATAATAAGATGGGGAAAGTTTGGATGAAATCAACATTTTCTAAAACGGATTTGGTCCAAAGAAACATGGGATCTAGAACCAATATTTCGATAAGGCACATTTTCACCGTGTCAATGTGTATACACCCTCATTAGCCATAAGGCTGAGGGTATAGTTATCCATAACAAATTTTTGATATTTGTATTATGGTTTACATAATGGCTTTGTAGAAATGTCGGTATATTTCCACTTTTTGTTATTTTCCCTATATTTTCATTTCAATTACCTGCCAGTATATCTATGATGGAGGGCATCCAAAGTTCGGCCCGGCCGAACTTTTTCACTTGTTTGAGATTAAATTTCTTCAGTAAAATCGAAAAGGAATATTTCTGTAAGATTTTCGCCTTGCCAACTTGTGTGGTCTTTTCGTCCTTAATTTATTGAACCGGTCTCTAATTATACCAAGATGCATCATCGCAAAGTTCTACAAAAATGTGGCTCATAAGATTTAAGGTGCGATCCTTAAAAACGAGAAATCGATATATTTACGTTTTAATGCTCTATTTTCGATTTTATCCGTTTATTTTCATTGAGCTTACATTCCTTATTATGCAGAACTCTCAGATTCTTCCGAGTTATTTACTAAAATCAACCACGTAAAAAAACAAATACATCGGGCATATCGAATTTCTGGTGTTTAAAAAAGTCTCCAAACAATCGTCTCGTTTAAACTTCGGTAGGAACTTCAATCATATCCCAGTTTTCGCTGTTAGCACTGTTATTTATAGGGGTATAAGAAATCCGATTATATATTCAAAAAACAACTAATGTTAAATTTTCTCTATTTTAATTTACTTTGCTTTCTATATTGACTTCAAAACACATTTAAGTTTTTAAGAAGTAGTCTCCCAGATTTATAGTACTAACCATAGAAAAGCCAACGTTAAGAGAATCATCTAAATTTCGATTCATAAATACAACGAATTATGAAACTCATAAATGTATCCCTCTTTGGACATTCCAAGCATTTTATTAATTTCATAAATACAACCCAGAAAAAATCACAAAAGAATTCTAGCACCAATGACAAAGAAAACAAAAAGTTAAAAAAGAGCACCAATATTAACAACACAAGAACGCACGCGCTCTTATCTACGTAATGATCAGAAGAAAACAAAATTGTCATTATTTTAACCGGGCTAAACAAGCAGCAACCAAAAAACTAAAACACAATATAAGGCTAAAAAAACTAAACGGGCGCGATGTGATTATATGCATCATCATCCATCTGGAAGAAAAAAGGAGTCACAGTAAAATATATTTTTTTATCATTTTGTATTGTGTCGGCGGCGGTAGTAATGTAGTGGTGGCACTTAATATGCAACTGATGCAACTTTTTTAACCCAAACTACAGAAAAAAAAACAAAACTGTATCCACAAAGATGATTATCAATGGAACACACCACCAACAGCACCGTTCATCCAACAAATACCATGGCATACCACATACAACTATGACAAATCGTAACTAAAGATACGTTGCATAGTTAACAGAACAAAGATCATCTTGGCCATTGATAAAAAAAACCAAAAAAAAGGCGACATAACACACTACGGCATTTTTTTACTGGGCGGATGAGGTAAATAAAACGGAAAATCTGTGTCCACCTTCCTTTTTTCTGCTGCCATGACATTTAACAAGTCTTCTTCGTTTTTGTTGTTGTGTTGTGTGTTTATAATGATTTTATTTGTAGTATTTAAGGTGCCACACGTACGCATGCGCACCAAATAGATATGCCTTTTTTACGGGATCCATTGATATCGTTGACTCGGTTGTTGTTGCTTCTTTCTGTTGCTTAACATTTGATAATGTTGTAAATAAATGTTTTATATGTTTTTATTTTTTACTTTTATTGTGTCTTACGTCTGTGGTAGTTTTCTTTATTACGGTCCCATTTATTATTGAGTATGATATACTTTTTTAGATGTATTAACAAGGATATTTCTTGCCCTTTACAAATTATCTTCTTATATAATGTTCCATGCCAATTTATCCATATCTGTTGAAATTACGATAGAGATGAAAATATTTAAAATATATCTTTGAATAGTTGAATCAGTAGAGAATGTGGTAAGGTCGGACGGGTCCGACTTTATGATACCTTTCACCACATATTCAACGGATGCATCCTTACAGACGTCGCATATTACCATGAAATTGGAGAAACTAAAATATGTGTTATTTATCTATATCTGAACAGACTGAGATCAATGCCTAAACATGTCATTTTGCAACATATACTTAATTTTTCATTTGGGCAGATTTAAAGTCACTTGTTTAGAATGGGCAAATTTGTGTAGATCAACTTAAAACAAATCTTAATCGGACACCTGTTGATTATTTAGAGCCCAATTAACATGAAGTCGATGCAAACTATATATGGGATATGTCTGCATTTCTATAAAACGCAATTACGTTAATCTCCGCTCAATGTTGTACATTGTGCGAAATTTCGTGTCAGTATGACACTCATGAGGAGTTTGTTGCACCATTTATTTAAATTGGACGAAAAGATATATGGAAGCTATATCCAAATCTGAATTTATTTAAACTAAACTTGCCACAGGTTATGTTATACTAAGTTCAGTAAATTTTTGTGCCTATTTTATGTCATATTTTTGGTTCTGATGCATCATTTATTTAAAATCGTACGAAAATATATCCAAATCTGCGCCGATTTTAACGAAACTTGTCACAAATTAGACTACACTAACTTCAGCAAAATTGTGTGTCGATCGGTTATTTTATGTTTTCTTTGCAGAATCGTAATCAGCGTCTTCTATACCCTTATATGCGATATTTATTTATTGTTCCCATATAAACAAAAAAGTTATATTAGCGCCGATTCCGCTTTGTGTTTTGATTTAATTCGAATCTACACTAGTTCAAGAATGTCCCTATACAATTTCAAGTGAAAATCTGAACAACTCTTGAAGATATAGCCTATTTATTGTGTTGACATCCCGTAATGACAAGAGTATTTCTCAAACTTTAAAAGCGTTTTTCTCGGAACAGTGTTTTTTTTCGAATGGTGGACACGATAACTCAAAAGCTAATAACCAAATCGATTTCAAATTCCGAAACGTTTTTTCTTTGAATATATAGCTATCGTATCTATCTAATGGCATTTACGGATTCAGATAATGCAGTGGGAAGTTCTCATCATAAATCTTTAATCATAAAAAACAATAACAACATTTTGTAAATTATGTTTCTTCTCTTCTAAATATTTAAATATACATGAGAAATATTGCCAATTTCTATACCCTTCACCACACTGTGGTACAGGGTATTATGTCTTTGTGCATATGTTTGTAACAGGCAAAAGGAAACGAGATAGACACATGGTTCCTTTTGACACATGGTTCCGTCCGTCCGTCTGTCCGACAGTCCATTTTTGTGAACAAAGTACAGGTCGCATTTATGATCCGATTTGGATGAAATTTGGCATAGGCCACTTATTTGGCCCAAGGACAAACCCTACTGAAATTCGGAAAAATCGGCTCAGATTTAGATATAGCTGCCATATATATTTTTGTCCGATTTAATGTAAATGGTGTACCAACGTCCCTATACATCTTTCGATTTGCACGAAATTTGGCACAGCGTAATGAATTAGGTCTAGAATGATGTGTGTTAAGTTTCCTGAAAATCGGTTCAGATTTAGGTATAGCTCCCATATATATTTTCGTCCGATTTAATGTAAATGGTGCACCATTTCGTCTGATTTGCATGAAATTTGGCACAGCCTAATGAATTAGGTCCAGAATGATGTGTGTTAAGTTTCGTGAAAAATGGTGGTGTAAAGTTCCTTAATGAATTAGGTCTATAATGATTCGTGTTAAGTTTCCTGAAATCGGTTCAGATTTAGAGATCGCTTCTATATCTGACCAAATGAAAAATTTAGTATCGGTTGAAGAATGGCATGTTTATGGATCCAATTTCATTTTACAGGTCCTTTAAAAATACGACGTCTTTTAGGATTCATCTGTTGAATATACCCAAGGTGGTGAAGGGTATCATATAGTCGGACCCGTCCGACTTTACTGCTTTCCTTACTGGTTTAATATTTCATTTTCAAAAAATCGTTTTTTATGTTCGTACTACATCGATGATGTATAGTACATATATAGGGAAAAATGTCCCAACTCCGAATCCGTTCCCGATCAAATTGTTTGTTGGTGCGCGTAAAAATTAAATTAAATTATATAAAAATCACACAAATCGGTATAGCGTTTTGTAAACTACAACAAAAATAGAACAAGATATTGATGAACATTATTTGTTTTTGGGTTGAAGAAACAAGGTCATCACCTTCATTTTTTTTATTTAATACAAGAAATTTTATTAAATATTGAAGTTATTCTTCTTCATTATTCTATGAATTTTAACTGGAAATTACCGTATATAAAAATGTGGATTATAGCAAGATTTTTCTAATAAATTGTAGAGTTCTATAAATAGGAATAAATATTAAAATAAAACTATGTTATGAAATATCATTTGATGCACATGTGGTTTCCGGGAAGTACCGAAGGTTATCTTCCAATCCAGGTATATTTAGCGAAATTTCATTTGACGGATAGGATGCAGTACACGTATAATTTTGAAAAGTCCTGATTTCGGTGTGCACTCTAACAAAATACATCGATCGATACCTATTTCACACTACCTTGAATCGGGACAGTTTTACATATATCACTCATACATAATTTCGTTGGGGTTCATATAAATGGTACACCGCAGACCCTATGTCCTCCTTTTTGTTACGAAATTTGATTAAGTAGAATGACATGTCTAGGGAAGTCGGTTGATATAAAAATATAGACCACATATTTAATTCCGTCTGATTTTATGTTAATGGTCATCAAAGAGTCTTGCGTATGTTCTATCAATACATACAACCGAAATCATTCGGAATGACATCGGTATACTTTTATTAGTTTAGGTTATAATGGTAATATCAAGAACATTTCTTGCATATATCCAATGTGATGAAGGGTATGACTTTTGTTCTTTCCTTAATGAGATTCCAGTTGAATATGATTTGTATAGTGCAGAGAGTCAAATTCTGTTTGAAACTTATATAATTTGATCATTCCAACATGGTGTAATATAGTTGGATCGCAGCGACGACAACATCACATGTGTCAATTCTTGGAATATTATAAAATTCATATATATAATAACACTTTCTATGTAGATAATGTTTTATTTGTAATATACAAAACTATTTATAGCTTTAGGATATATGATTATGTACAGGAATATAAATAAGGGAATTCTCAATAGAAATAAAAAAACTCCGTCGATATTACAAGATAATAGTTTATAGGCGTTTCTATTCACTCCAAATAAACTAAACAATTTTTTTTTCTATTTTTGGGCCTCCTTATCAGGAAAATCATATCAACAGCAAACGGAAATCATAATTCAAAATATCACAAAAAATATATAAAACATATTTAATAAATATACCAAACAATAAGTGCTATTGGTCAACGCATTGTTACCTTTTCTCCCTTTTGGGTGTCTCCGTAACAAAAATTGGTAACAAAACAAAAAATTGGCCCAGACATGTTACCAATTTTTATGAGTTTTCCTTTGGCAAATGTAATCACGTATTTGTAGCTAATGAAAAAACATATCTAATAAAACATTTAGATAATAATCAACTAACATAAAAAAAATAAACTGAAACGGGGCAACAAGCAGAACATGACAATGTTGTGTACATGCCACCACTTACTGTTGTATCCAATGGAACGAAACGAAAGAATGAGAAAAGGTTAATTTTCCTTTTTGTATGGTGACACGGTGCATTTACAATGTACACGGATTAGAATCCGTGTGACAAAAATAAAATCTTGAATGAAACAAGACCAACACAATTGGTGAAGAGTTCATTGAGCGCCACCCTAGAGAAATGATTTAATATTAATTGTTAATATTTTCTTTGTGGCCTGTACAAGTCGAAACAATATTGAATTATTTCTTAGAAGGAACATATTTGTAATTTAAGTAGTTATATTGGGAACTCACTATGGGATTGTTTCTCATATGAGACATTTGGGAATTTTCAAGTACAGGAATTTGATGTTTCAATTTGGTGATTCCGATGTTTCTATGAATCCAAAATTAGAGATATAAAAAGAAACAAGAAGGAAACTCCAAAAAGCAGAAGGGCCGGTCCATTTTTGGATCTATACATAAGATCTTTGGAAGAC